ATACTGGGCCTTTGTGGATATCTTCATTGCAGTATGCTTTAGTTCTTACTTTCTTTTTTACTTTAGATTATAATAAATCCCCTATACCCTTCCCTGTAGTTTCTGTCCCAGCCCCTTCATTGATATCATATCCATACACACACACACACACGCACGCACACACACACACACACATGCGTGCGCGCGCACACACACATACACACCCCATTTCTGGAATTGGACTGGAAATAGTGCAGATTCCTGATGTTTTCCCTCTTCTAGATGACAGTTATTCAAAATTTATGGTATGCAGTTAGTCCATCCTTCGTTTAAATGTTCCAGGAAGGTCTTTTATTCATTGTATTAGGGTTTATAAATCTATTTTGCACTACTACTTTCACAGGATGGTTATATTTCTGTATTTTAAGCCATTTCATAAATATTACATCATGAAAATATGTTTTTCTAATAAATTTGGTAAATGATGTCCTTTGTTTCTTTACAGTAGATAACTATTCTAAGATTATGAATAGGACCTCCCTGATGGTGCAGGGGTTAAAGAGCACTATCAAGCACCAGCCACTGCAGCACAAGTTTGATCTGTGGTTGGCCAGGGAGCAACCCACATGGCACAGCCTCACTCGGTGCTCCCCTCTCCTGCCTCACTCTCTGCTCCCCTCAGCAGTGTGTTTCAGTAGATCTGCCTGTTCTGCTCCCCACTCTCTCTGGTGAATCCTCTCATCCCCTGTACCTCTGTCTTACACTCCAGTTCTTGTATGCATAAATAAATAAATCTTTAAAAAATGAAATTATGAATAACTTAAGTCTGAGATTTAGAACAGGGACAGATTTTATGTGGTCAGGATCAGTAGTGGCATCTGGCATTGGATTGAAGAGGTAAGAAATTGACTAGACAGGTGCTATGTACTGGCTGATTCTGGCCTAGCTATTTTTTAAAGGTCTTTTGTAATTCTTCTTGACAGTTCTTGGGTCTATTTTAGGAAGCCCTTTGTTCTCTTTAGATAATAACCTGTAGTGACATACATGTATTTAGAGAACAAGATCTGCTTGTTGATTTCAGAACACTGGGAAAATGCTAAATTGTACTTATTACCTACTTTTCTTTACTTAGTCTCCAATAAATGTTTTGTCTGACTTCCAGGAAAATGGGTGGGTTGCTCAGTGGGCAGATGTCCTCCTCATGCTGCTTCTTGCAAGTACTTGATTCTGTTTGTTACCATTTCTTTTATTCTATAGACTTTTTTTTTCTGCTTTCTAATTCTTTGGCGATTTGGGAAAGAGGTCTCTTTACTACTTTCAAGTAGTGAACTGTCTCTTAAATTTTAAGACAGCCCTTCTTGATTTGTAAAAAAAAAAAAAACAAAAACAAAAAACCAAGAAAGAGAGTAGATGGCTGTTTAGGCAGAAATCATCAGTCCTTGATGGAATGACCTCAGATATAGGGCCTGATTTTTAGAGTTCTTGTTTTAGTAACACTTTTATCAGTTCTCCTTAGTGTGATCAGATTTATGCTAATTAAGCTTACATGAGATTGGTTAATCAGAGTTCTGAACAATCACTGGGAAGTCAGTTGATTAGTAATAGGTCCAAAATACTAATCTCAGCTGGAAAAACCAATGAAGATTAGAAGGTTGTTTTGTAAGTAGAATCTGGTCAGAATAATGGCGTTTGGGTGATCTTAAGGGGTGTCATCAAGCTCTGGTAACCTTCCACAACATCTTGTATTTTCTTTTTTTTTTAATATTTTCTTTTATATAATTCTTACATCATTTTTCATTTTTGCACAATGTATACATTTTCATTTTGGTTATATTCCCCATACAATTGCACCCCCCCCTTATTATTTTCTAGGTCATTATTTGGTATATTAATGTCATCCAGAAAGGGTGACAGATTGCCAGATTGTACTCCAGACAGGATGGGAACTGTTCTTTATTATATACTATTTCTCACTGTTAGGTATTTTGTATCAGTCTAAAATCTTCATTCATTGTATATCTTTGTCTAAGAAGAAATTAACATCTAAGAGCTTATTAATTATATCTAGCAAAAACAGTAGATGTGCTCTTTCTTGTGCATGTTATTAGTGTCACCACTTCTAGTCTTATTTTAAACAACTTTTACTTACCTCCTGTGTTTTGATTAACTCTTCCAATACCATTTCTATCTTTGAAAAATAGTTCTACTTACCATAATCAGGGAGGCAGCATGATACAGACAGCATATTGAAAGTAGCTTTTTTCCATTTTTTAAATTATGGTAAAATATACATAACATAAAATTTATCACTTTGACCTTCTAAATGTACTGTATTAAGTGGTATTAAATGCATGCATAATGTTATGTAACCACAACCAAACATCCATCTCCATAAGTCTCCTCTTGTAAAACTGAGACATTGTACCCATTAAACAGTAATTCCATGTTCTTCTGCTCTTAGTCCCTGTCAGCCACCATTCTGCTTTGTCTCTGAATTGAACTACTCTGAGTACCTCTCATAAGTGGAATTTGTCTTTTCATATTTTTGCAGCAGGCTTATTTTACATAGAAAATTGCTTCAACTTTTAATCTCATACACTCAAAGCCTGGCCCAGGCTTGTAATACTGGGTGTCTGCAAGTCTCTGTGTGTGTGTGTTTTGTATGTTTACCTTTTTAGGCTTCAGATTTCTGTTGATAAAATGGTGTTAGTTCTAATTCAGCTGAAAGAACTAGAAAAAGACTAAATAAATCTACAGATGGAGGAGGAAAGTGAAGAGAAAAACTATCCTGGAAGCCAAGTGAAATAAGTGCTCTTAGGAGGAAGTGAATATCCCCATCAAATAGTGATCATAGGGCAAGTAAAAAGAAGTCTAAGAAATGACTATTGTATATGTGGTCACTGGTTTTCTTCGTGACAGTTTTTGGTGGGATGTTAAAAACACTGATCTGAGTGGGTTTAACTGGAAATGGAGGACAAGTAAGTCTCTTAAGGATTTTTTGTAGTTTTTGCTTGTAAAGAGGATAAAAGAAAAAAGCTGGAGGAGGAATTGAATGGAGCCCCCTTTTTTTTTAAACAGGAAATGCCATGTGTACATATTCTGAAGGTAAAGATACAGTGTGGAGGGATGATGTGATGTAGGAGAGAAAGGAGAGAATTGCTGAGAAATATCCTTGAATAGCCAAGATGATGGGGTGGGATTTTAGTACTCAGAGGGCAGTTTGTGCTAGTAAAAGAGAATATAGTTGAGCTTAGGATAGAGTTTATAGAAATTCCTCTTCTGGTAGAAATTCCTCTTCTGTAGTTTTCAGTAAGAAAATAGGTAAGTTGTGGTCATCAGATGAGAGGGAACATGAAAGAAGTAGGTGTTTGAAGTTTAAAGAGAGAAGTCACCTAGGAGAAGGGCCTAGAAGAATTCGTATAATTCCCGGGAGCACAGAGTCCATTTGAGGCAAGTGATTACTGACTGGGCTGGCTTTGAATTCACATGGTAGTAGGTTTATTTTTCCGCTGTGTTTAGCTTTGTTATTATTCAGTGTAGATGGAGAGTTGGTTAGAGCACATTATGGGTTACCCAAGTGAATAAGACGAAGTAGGCGCCACAGGAGGTAAGAGGAGCATGCCAGAGAGTGAGATTTCATTTTACCTAAATGTTTCAGAATTGTAACAGATAAGGATTTAAAAAGCCACAAACGATGTGAATAATACTTCTTTAATATTAACTAATATTTAGCCCTTCAAATTTGTCCAATTTTCAAAAATATCCCTTTACAGTTGATTTGTTCAGATCAGAACCAAACAAGGTCTGTGCATCACTGTTGTACTTTGTTCTGCCTTGTTAATAATCTCTGCAAATGTCTTCTCCCCCCCTTTCCTTGTCATTAATTTCTTGAAGAAATGGGTCTTTTGTCTCATAGAACTTTCCATATTCTGCATCTGGCTGGCTGTATACTTGTGCTATTTTAAAAATTATTTAAAACTTTAATTGTGGTAGTATATATATATATATATATATATATATATATATATATAGCACAAATTTGCTATCATAGTTTTAAGTGTACAGTTCAGTAGTGTTTAGTATATTCAGACTGCTGTATCTTATGTTATTTTGAGCATGTCCCTCTTTTTCCTTTATTTTTTATGAGCCTGGTACTAGACCTAGAGAAGCTTGAATCGGATCACTTTTTAATTTTGGGGAGGTGAGAGGGCAAAGGCATAGTGTTTTTTACCTGAAGTTTTTTTTTATTCACCAGTGATAGTCATTACCTAAAACCATTTTTTTTTTTACTAAGAGTTGTGAAAGTGATTTTCTAATTATGGTAGTCTTTCTGCATTTATTAGCTCGAATCATTTTTTTTAAAGGTTTATTTTTATTTATTTATGCATACAAGAACTGGGGTGTAGGCCAGAGGTACAAGGGGTGAGAGGATTCACCAGAGACAGAATGGGGAGCAGAACAGACAGATCTACTGAAATATACTGCTGAGGGGAGCAGCAGGCAAAACAGGAGAGGTCTGCAGGGTATCAAACTCATGCTGTAGTGGCTGGCCATAGCGCTGAGACTTTAACCCCTATGCCGCCAAGGAGGTCCTGTTAGCTAGAATTCTTTTAAGAATATTCCCGCATCTACTTTCTGCCAGAAATGCAGGATACTCGATTCTTTCCCTTTATTTTCCAATTTTCAGGTGACTGAAAAAGTCGTGAGTTCATGCAGTTTATAATGGCTTATTGTAGTCATTCTTTTGATGTTTAGATTGTTCTGTCTGTACCTGTAGGAACCTTGTCAGGCCTGCTCCTTGCCCTCCGCAGGCATAGTACCTTTTGTTAGTTTACAGGCTTGTTTATGTCTTTCTGATCCTAGACTTGAAATCCCCCATTTATCCAAGGAGTCTCCTAGTTCCTTTTAAGTGGGAATGGTGTTTAGAGATCATAATATGGATGTCTACTTTTAAAAAAGATGTTATTTTCACTTACATTATTCTTCAGAATACTGATTGGTTTCTTTTTTTAATTCAATAGGCATGCCCAAAGAAAAATACGAGCCCCCTGACCCTCGGAGGATGTACACAATTATGTCCTCTGAGGAAGCAGCAAATGGAAAGAAATCACATTGGGCAGAACTTGAAATAAGTGGTAAGATATGCAAGCATACATTTATGGGATGGAAATTAAGACATGGTAGAAAATTAAGTTTTCTAATGTATAAAAAGGGAGTGTACATCAAATGTACAACAGAAAAAAGCGTTGTGTTTTACCAATGCCAGATTATTTTGGAAACAGGAAGATTCAGTGGAAAGAACATGATTTGAGCCAAAGTTCAAAACCCATTCATTGCTTATTCTTCCAATATCAATGTCCTTTTACAAAATGTGTATAATATCAGAATGAAATGAAAATAGTACATGTGAAATGCTTAGTGCCCTCTTTCTTAAAAGGCTTGTTCTGATACTAATTCTCTGATAAAGTAGGATGGAGCTTTTGTATTATCAAATAACAGAATTCAGTAGGATGGGATGTTCCTATTCTAGCATAGGTTCTGTCCTCATTTTCTTCATTTACTTTTCAGTCTGAGTTTCTGAAGACTGCCTTATTCAGAAACACAAAGTCTTAAGGGTTTGAAACAGATCTCAAAGTTCCCTTCTACGTTCATTGCCTTCTAGGAATACTCAAAAGAAATACAGAGGCCCCCAGACCCACAGAGAATATGTTAGCAGCCTGAGTACTTGCATGCTCTAAATGGGTCCTGCCAATTGCCACAAAGACAAAGCAGACTTTCAATTTGAAAGAACATTAATAGGATTAATGTGCATAAAGAAAGAAGACAAGAGAAAGGATAATAGTTTTCCAATAAAATGTTCAAAGTTACTCATCTCCTTGTGGGTAAATGTTCAACTAAGATGGTCGACCCAAAGTGGAACTATTGAGTCCCTAAAACTTGTCACAAGACTAAGGCACCTTCTGGTGGGGAACCATAGGAAAGGGCAAATAGGGCCAGGCAAGTCTGGGATGAAAGGAGCAAAATCAAAATATAAACTAGGGTAACTGGTTGCCATTGTCAGCCCTGCGCACAGTCTCTCACCCACGTCTTTTCCAAGTGTCTCTACATGTCTTGGCTTCACGTGTCTTGTCTTTCAAGTCCCTGCAAGTCCAATGCTGAGAAGCAAGCGAGATGATTTCTTCATGTCTCTTTGCCCCAAATACCTCTTCCAGTTTTTCTTCCCCAAATCTTCTCCCTGCTCTCTCACCCTTCATTTGATGGGGCAGGGAACATGGTACCTCCCCTTTTTATGGAGATCCCTCTCTGTAACTGATATTGCCAGCATCCCTGCTAATGAGCAAGCAGCCTTTTTTTTCCCCAGTAATTCAAAGGTGGTGAAGGTACCACTTCTCAACACAACCAGCTAAAGGAGTTTTGTGTTAATGCTAACCTAATATGTCCCCCTATGCTTTCCTGATAAAACTTTTTCACCTAACTGCTCTTGAAAATTTTTTTTTTAAACGTACCAAGCATGTGATATGTATAAAACATTTTGCCAGATACTGTACTTTGCATATGAAAAATAAAATAGATTTAAAAACCATAATTTCTGTCATTTTGGAGCTTATGACATTTAGGAGTGGTAAGAAGGGAGTGTAAGTATAAATAACAGACAAAAATAACTGCCAGATATAGGTAGAAAAGTACATAGAGGAAGCAAAAAAGGAAGTGATAATTATCTTCCTCCTTTGTCAGCTCACATTATCTGGTTAACCTGTTTTGAGTCAATCTCTGCAGCCACAGTAGAGGTGGGTACCCACATGAATGTCTGCTGTTTTTCCTCTCTCAGTTTTTAAAATGCTGGCCTTAATTAAAGCAAGTGAAAGTTCATAAAGTAGTTACAGTGGAGAGTTGAAATCTCTCTTTTTTTTCCCCGCTCTCCTATCAGATTTGACTTTGTTTGGTGCGGGGGGGGGGGGGGATAGGGAAGGTGGGGGGGACAAGAGAGAGGTTCTTTTTCATTTACATTTACCTTTGAGGCACAGGGAATTACCATTTCCACTTTTCTTAGTTCCTGCAGGATTTTTTTTTTTTTAAAGATTTATTTATTCATGCATACAGGAACCGGGGTACAGGCCAGAGGGTGAGAGGATTCACCAGAGACAGAGCTGGGAACAGAACAGGCAGAATGACTGAAATACACTGCTGAGGGGAGCAGCGGGGTGAGACTGGAGAGGTCTGCTGCGCCATGTGGGATTCTCTCTGGCTGGCAAGGATTGAACCCATGCTGCAGAGGCTGTGGACAGCTTCACAGTGCTGCACTCACTCCACTGCACCACCGGGGAGGCCCCTGCAGGATTCTTTTTTAACTCTTTTTCTTTTTCTTTCTTTTTTTTCAGTCTGTACCAGCAGATTTTGAATTAGGAATCCTTTGCTTGTAAGAAATTTCTACTTTATACAGCTGCAGATAAGCTAGAAAGTACTCATTTAGGTCACTGAGATGATTTCTCTGAGCCTAAGGAGATTCTCCTCCACTCTCCTCCCTAAAGTTGGAACTCCTTGGTTGGAACTCCTTGGCAATTTTGAGTTACTGTTTTCCACTTTGACTTTAGGGAAGAAATCTGTATACAGGATTGGAAGGAAGAGGAAAGAGTCCTTTACAGTAATGTTCTTGACCCAGTTTTGTCTTATCTTTACCAAGTAACATGGGTAAAACAATTGGCTGAATAGGTCTGTGGATTGGATCTTATAATTAACAAAGCCACTATCAAGGTCACTTTTTTGTCTTAGTCCTTGATACCTAGCTAAGTGTAGAAATCATCTTGGCTGAATTAATTTCTAACTCAGTTTTTTTATTGCCTGCTTTAACATGAGTTCCTTATGGTTTTGTAATACCAAGTTACAGGGATTTGAAGTTAGTAAATCCTAGACCTACAGGTTTCTCTGTGCTTCCCTGGTTCCAAGGGAATGGTATTGGTGTTGCGTTCCTTGTGCCATGGGGGTTACCAGTAAGTCATTAATCATTAAATTTTTGGTGTTAAAGATTATTTATTCATGCGTGCAAGAACTGGGGTACAAGCCAGATGTGCAGGAGGGTGAGAGGATTCACCAGAGACAGAGTGGGGAGCAGAACAGGCAAACGGACTGAAATACACTGCTGAGGGGAGCAGCGGGCGAGACAGGAGAGGTTTGCCACACCATGTGGGTATCTTGCTGGCCAGCTGGTATCGAACCCATGGTGTAGAGGCTGCGGTCAGCTTCATAGGGCTGCATTCAACCACCAGCGCCACCAGGGGAGGCCCAATCATTAATTTTAAAAGGAACCTTTGTTTTAATTTTAAAATGAAGCGCAAAGTAAAACACATAGACAAATATATTCATGAATTATCAGGACTTAAGCCTTGTAACCATTGTCCAGGTGAAGGGTAGAACTTTTTTTCACTCACGTGAGAATCCTCTTTATATACCACAACCAATCATAGCCCAAAGTCACCTTACTTCTATAGTAATTTCTTTTTTGTCTCCTTATAGTTTTGACACCAATGTATGTATAACTAAGCATTATAGTTTAGTCCTCCCTCCTTTTATTGGTGTATCTTAATTTATAAGTTTCCCTTGATCTTTTTCATTTCTTTCCGGTTTATCTATTGAACCTCAGTGGTTTGACCTATCATTTTTCTGAAGTCTGTATATATTTTGCATTTAACCCCTTTAACTCGGTCATGCAATTTAACCCCTTTCTCATCCTCAACATTTCCTGCAAATGGACAACTGGAGATTTAAGCCTAGCAGTACTGAAGATGGTGCCATGTAGTGGTGTGTTTTTTCTTCAGTAGGCACCTAAAGTCTGAATGCCTTTTCTACTCAGTGCAAATTTTGTCTTTCTTTCTGATTAGGTGAGCTACAGCTATAAAGAGATGCTTTCTCTCATTTACTATTTGATGTGCAATGTACAGTTTATATAGGAAAGGCAGAAAAAGATGCTTGTTTCTTTTATTTGCTAGATTTTGAGATAAACTATTGTCGTTTGAGGGTCACCAGGGTGACCAATTACATTTTTTAAAGTATTTTTTTTAAAGAATTATTTATTTATGAATACAAGAACTAGGATACAGGCCAGAGGTGTGGGGGGTGAGAGGATTCACGAGACACAGAACGGGGAACAGAACAGGCAGATTGACTGAAGGGAGCAGCGGGTGAATCAGGAGAGGTCTATGTGGGTTGCTCCCTGGCCAGCCGGGATCGAACTCATGCTGCAGTGGCTGCAGATAGTTTCATAGGTTGTGTCTTAACCCCTTGCGCCACCAGGGAGACCCTAAATTATCATTGTTAACTGATAATATATTTTAACATTTGGGTTACAAACATGCTTACTGATTTTTTTTTTGAAAGATTTATACAAGAATTGGGGTGTACGCCAGAGATGCAGGGGGTAAGAAGATTCATCAGAGATAGAGTGGGGAGCAGAACTGGTGTATCTACTGAAATACACTGCTGAAGGGAGCAGCAGGTGAGACAGGCGAGGTCTGCTGCGCCATGTGGGTTAGCTCCCTGGCCAGGCATCGAACTCATGCTGTGGTGGCTGGTGATAGCTTGATAGTGCTGAGACTTTAACCCCTGCATCACCAGGGAAGCCCTTCATGATTTTTAATTATTCTCATTTGGGGGCATTAGTTGTCCTGTTGTGGTTAATAGGATAACCTCTTAAAATGATTTCTGAGTTCAAACATAGAGCTTCCATATGATCCAGCAATTCCACTCCTAGGTATTTACCCAAATGACAGAGAAACAGTAATTCCAAAGGGCACCTGTACCCCTTTGTTTATAGCAGCACTATTTACAATAGCTAAGCTATGAAGCAACCCAAATGCCCAAAAGTAGATGACTGGATCAAGAAGATGTGGTACATATACACAATGGAATATTACTCAGCAATCAAAAAAGATAAACACATACAGTTTGCAGCAACATGGATGGAGCTAGAAGGGATCATGCTCAGCGAAATAAGTCAGAAAGAAAAAGAAAAATACCAGATGGTCTCATTCATAGCAGGAATTCAGAAAACCTAAATAAAAGACCAGGAAAAAGACTAATCAATACAAAGTAAAAATCAAAATTAACAAGCAACTATAAACCAGAGACACACTGGGGGGGT